ACAGTCCAGCAAGCCCGAGAGGGACAGCTGTGGGGCCCTGCAGCTGCCAGCTCCGAGCTCGGCCTGGACTCAAGGCAGCCTCGAGCCTCACCTCTCCTTGGGGGCCAGCTGGCCGCCGCTTGCGGCTGGACACCCTGCTGCGGCGCATCCGGCGGAAGGACTGGCGCAAGGACTTCTTGAGGGATTTCACGCGGGATAGCGGGCCCTCCAAGGCCAGCTGGTCACTGGGGTGCAGCGTGCACCTGGAGAGGGCATCCGATTGTCAGCACGCCCACGACCCGGGGTCCTCATTGGGCCCCAGTCCCAGACCCGGGCTCCGGCCGCCCTGCTCACTTGACAACGGCGCATCCGGCGGAAGGACTGGCGCAAGGACTTCTTGAGGGATTTCACGCGGGATAGCGGGCCCTCCAAGGCCAGCTGGTCACTGGGGTGCAGCGTGCACCTGGAGAGGGCATCCGATTGTCAGCACGCCCACGACCCGGGGTCCTCATTGGGCCCCAGTCCCAGACCCGGGCTCCGGCCGCCCTGCTCACTTGACAAAGACCTGCCGCCGCTGCTGGTGGTCAAAGAGGCCAAAGCCGTGGCTGGGGGCAGAACACTCAGAGTGCAGGGCCAAGGAGGTGACCACGGCGGGAGGCTGGCACTGCACCAACACGAAGGGCTGGAAGCCGGGCTCGAAGTGCACGGGCCCCGGGCGGGCAGCCAGGCGCTCGTGGCCCTTCCAGCGGTAGCCCTCCTGGTCCTGCAGCAGGTCGGCCTCCACCTGCTCCACGGCCTGCTCCGCCGCCTCGTCATTCAGCTCCAGCACCAGCACCTGGTGGGCGGCACAGGCTCAGCAAACCCGGTACAGGGACGGGACCTCAGGAACCCTGACGGTGGGAACAAGAACCCAGGACCCGCGCCAAGTCCCCACCCCAGACCTTAATCCTGACTCCCGGGGGAGCACCAGCCATCCCAGGACCTCCCTCTGATGGAAGTGAGCAGCCTCCATCTGCTGGGAGCAGCAGTGGTAGCACGTGCTCTGGCCAGCAGGTGGGTACTAGGCCACCAAGGAGGCAGCTCCCGAATCTGCGCCCCCCTTGCCCCATCTGAGCAGGAAGCTCACAGCCACATATGGCCCTAGGTGGCCCAGCCACTCCTCCCGGTCCCCACCTCTAGCCTAGCCTGCTACCTGCCCCGCCGTGCCTGCCACTGCCAGGTAGCCGCTGTATTTGCAGAGGACGATCTTCTGGATGCCCAGCCGTGGGTCGTCACTGTAGGGGTCGAAGGAGCCCACCTGACAAGGGAGTGGGGCCCATGAGCAGCCATGGGGCCTGGCCCAGCCTGCCGCAACCACCCTCCCTGGGGCCCAGGCTCCTGGCCTCACCTTGCGGAGGGGAGGCCACTCGTCCTCGCCCTGGGCATTGAGGTTCTCGTTGGGGTCCGTGTCAGTGAGGAACACCCGCACCGTGCTGAGTTTGTAGAGCAGCCGCAGGCAGACGCCCGAGGCGTCCCAGAACCTCACCGTACCGTCCTCGTGCCTGTGCGCAGAGATGCCTGCCTGCTGTGGGGGTCACTGGCAGCCCGAGGGGCCACCGTGCGCACGCCAGGCTCTGCTCCCACCCCACCAATCCGACGAAAAGGAGAGGGGCGTGGAATCACCTACCCCGTTAGCAGCAGGTCCCTCTGGGGCAGAGCTGGGGCCAGGCTGGTGCCGCCATCGACAGGCCACTCCTAGAGAGAGCACCAAGTCCCTGGGAGAGCTCAGCCGGCAGGGGTGGGGTGGGGCGGGGGGGGGG